CTGATGACCAGGTTTTACTCCTCGTGAACGCGTGTTTATAAACTATGGTCGATATAAATGTATCTATAGATACGTATAATTAACTATGAAGATGGTTGGATATCTAATCTAACTTGTTGGGTCAACAAACACTAGATTCGAGTCTAGGTCCAGAGTTGTTGGTTCCACGGTTCCTTTTATTTTTAACCCTACCAATGTTTTGGATAATTAATTTCCTTTTTTTCTTCGTAATTGTATTTAATATGGTATTCGCTGAGAAGTTTCCAATGGTATCCTTCCTTTTCTTTCTTCTTCCACGATATTTATACCCAATCCTAGGCTTGCATTTATTTGGGTTGACAATTTTTGGGGTTGAAACAGACAATAACACGTATAGTATTTATGATGTAGTCAAATTTGAAGAAAGTATGATCAAATTTCAATGCATAGTCATCTACAGTATTTCCCAAAATTTAGATGTAGTTGAGAAATAGCAGCATAATTAGTTTTACATTTTCGATGGTAAAAAGGAGAAGAAAATGTAAAGAGATAAGATACAAAAGTCTATGTATTGTTGCGAAAATATTAAACAAAAAAAATGGTCCCCTCCCATTCAAGCTTTTTGTTTTTCACCTATTTATATTCGAAATTTTGAAAAGTTAAATCAATCATATACTACTATTGTTTTTAGAAAACAAATAGAATTAAGAATAGGTTATCGTATCAATTAACATGCGTACTGGTCGTATAGTATGGTGGACAAGAGACATATACAATTTCGTGATAATCACGAACCCAAATTAGAGACTGGTTCCAAAGGTTTCAACTTGAGCATGCTTATATTAATTAATTATTAGTCAATAAAAGATTGAGAAAAATTCTTTAACGAAAAGGATTACGCGTAATTAACTATAGGATGATTGGTGGAAGAAAAAAAGGAGAAATTTTGAGAAATGTCACTTTTCAAAAATGACATATTTTCAAAATTTTTATAAAAATACCATTTTTTCAAAATTATGTATTGATTATATTATTTATATTTGGGTTAACTATGTTGTATTAGAGTTTAGTTTTGAAGGTTTAAAATTTGTTAGAAGTCAAAACATTTTGTAGGGTTTAGAATTTTAAGATTTAGACTTTAAAAATCCATAACT